TTCCTCAATTTAAAAAAAAAGAAAGAATGTTAAGAAGTAAATAAAATAAAGAGGAAAAATGACCAGAGCCTTAACTCAAGTGGGGACACTGGGAATGAAAAAGAGGAGATGAAGTGATAAAAGTGGGAAATAAGTTGTAGACAAAAATCAATGGGATTTTATAAGATGTGGTTCAATGAGAGGAAGAGGGCTAGAAAGACTATCAAGTCACAGACATGAGAGGTGGTGTCATTCCCCAGATATAAAATATAGAAGTGTTTGAAGAAACAGACTAGTTTGGTATGGGGAAGACTGGGTTTGAGGCATTTGTGGGATTCCCAATAGATCATTGAAAATGGTGAGAATTTCAGCAGATCATGGAAACTATAAATCTAGACTTTGGGAAAGAGATTTGTTTAGGAGTTAAGGTCTGAGAGGCATAAATAAATATTCATATTTGTATATAAATATCACATGAAGAGAAAAATGTGACTGAGATTGCAGAGAGTGAGACTCATGCATTCTTCTTTTATGCAAAGAGAAAGGAACAACAACTCAATCCTGTAGAACACTGGTATTTATAGGCTAAGCAGAGGAAAAAGTTACTATGAATGAATTTAAGGAGTAGCCCAAAGAAACTCAGGGATGTATAGAATGGAGTCATTAAATAAATGAATATTCTCATTTGCTTCAACAGGAACAATTCAAAGAAGAGATGGAGGTTGGAAACTATACCACCGTGACAGAGTTCATCATTTTGGGGTTAACACAGGATCCTACACTTTGTGTTATTTTCTTTGTAATATTTCTAGGAATATATATTGTTACCTTAGTAGGCAATATCAGCATAATCACCTTAATAAGAAGCTGTTCTCAACTCCATACCCCCATGTATCTGTTCCTCAGCCATCTGGCTTTTGTGGACATTGGGTATTCCACATCAGTCACACCTGTAATGCTCATGGGATTCCTTGGCTATGGAACAGCCCTCCCTGTGGCTGGCTGTGAAGCCCAACTGTGTTCTGTGGTGACATTTGGGACTGCTGAATGTTTCCTGCTGGCTGCCATGGCCTATGATCGCTATGTGGCCATCTGCTCACCCCTGCTCTACTCCACCCACATGTCCCCTGGAGTCTGCACCCTCTTAGTGGGGGCTTCCTATCTGGGTGGTTGTGTGAATGCTTGGACATTTACTAGTTGTTTATTGAGTCTGTCTTTCTGTGGACCAAATAAGATAGACCACTTTTTCTGTGACTTCTCTCCTTTGTTGAAACTTTCCTGCTCAGATATCTCTGTTATTGAAATTATTCCTTCCATCTCTTCTGGCTCCATCATTATGGTCACGGTGTTTGTCATTGTTCTCTCTTACATGTACATCCTCATTACCATTCTGAAGATGCACTCCACTGAAGGGCGTCACAAAGCCTTCTCTACCTGCACCTCCCACCTCACTGCAGTGACTCTCTATTATGGAACTATTACCTTCATTTATGTGCTGCCCAAGTCCAGCTATTCAACTAACCAGAATAGAGTGGTGTCTCTGTTCTACACAGTGGTGATCCCCATGCTGAACCCCCTCATCTACAGTCTGAGGAACAGAGACGTAAAGGAGGCCCTGTGGAAAACAGTCATCAAAGTGTATTCTTAGGGTCTATTATTTGAATTCAAGAACCTAGAAACCTAGAAAGTTTTCATTTACCCATGTTAGCCTTAGAACTAACCACACACTGTTAACCTGATTTCTTAAGCTAAAATTATTTTATTTGTTCAATTCTCACCTTTTTACGCTTGTGTATCATTTAGAAGACACCTTGAAATCAGCAAAATGATATTACTAATGATCATTATTATTAAACTCCTATAGTTACCAACAATTTTTTCTTTCTTTATTTAGCAAACAGTAATTTGCACTTGCTATGTGTCAGGGCCCATTCTATATGCATTACGTAGTACATAAGCTCATTTATCCCTCACAACAACCTGATTAAGTACTGCCATTATTTTTGTTTTAGAAATTAATGATATGAAAACAATAAGTAGATTGACTATTTTCATTAGATAAATATATGTGAGATCAACATTTGAATCTAGGGGCTGGGGATTTAGCTCAGTGGTTCTGTCGCTTGCCTTGCAAGCACAAGGACCCGAGTTTGATCCCTGCTACCAAAAAAAAAAAATTTGAATCTAGAATTTGAGTCCAAAATCTCTATGGTTCTACATTCAATTTTCAGAATAAATTTGTGATGCTGGAATTACAAACTTCTTCCAATTTACAGATGAGAAAATGAGTCTTAGATCAAATAGTTTGTGCCGATAGGTATGAGCTCAAGTCCTCAGTTTCGCTGTTCCATGCACTTAACCTATACTATTCCACCCCAGTAAGTTTAATGATGACAGCATTCTTAATGATGTAGAGGATTTGTTTAGGGTTATTAAGCTTAACTTAGTACCCTGCATTAATCTTTTGGACAAACTTTATGCAAAGATAGTCTAGGTGGTGCAGATTAAGGCCCAGGACAACTGGGTTGATTTGTATCTTTTAGGAAGTCAGGTTCCATGATTTGGTGGAAATTCTAAGTGTACTTAAATTAACAGTATAGCATAATGTAACCATCATTTGTAGAGATTTATAGTGACATTTTAAATCTAACTATTGCAATAAATAATTTTACCAACCATAGTTCCCTAAGTCAGTTATTTATAAAGAAATTAAAAATTGTAAAATAACTCAAAATTTTGTCAGATTGCAGTACATATTTTTCTTGTGAAAATTACCTACTTCGATTTACATCATCATCAGGAGACTGGAAAGAGTGAGAGGCGATCTGCTGGAATATGAGGACTCCAAAGCAAATACAGAGACAACTATTTATAGACTCTGAAAGCAAAATGTAGAATCCAATTGCTCCTTCCTCAATGTAATATTAGAGATGAGAGACACAAGGGTTTGGAGATATTGAGATATTCTAACAAAATGGAAACTGTAATACACCATTAAGTGAAATTGTAGAGTATAGTATTTTTTGGTGGTAAATACAGAACAAAGACTAAAAGGTAATAAGGATAAAGTAAACACATGAAATGATGAAGTATGCATTTGCTGGTTTGAAATTCTCCTATTTTAATACTTTATAATAAAGAAACATTAAAAATAAAGAAAATTAAATAATACAGAGTCCTCCAAAAAAGATATACAGTGGACTCTCAAAATTTGTGGGGGTTATGTTCCTAGAGCACCCAAGAATGGTGAAAAACTGAGAATTTCAGATATGGTCAGAAAAATGCCTGCATTTATAGTTTAAACCCTAAATATGTTATGCTTCCTGTAGTTATGCAGTTTAATTTAATAGACTATTGTATTAATAAAGCCTTAGAAGGTGAAGGGCATTTTTGGAGGCATTTTATGGACCTTAGGGCTTTAGGAAGAACAAAACTGAGTACACTTGAAATAGCTACACCTTACCAGCAACCTGTTATGATGCAAGAGTGCTGGTGCATCTGCTAGAGATGGGTTGCAGGGTAGCTGCCAATCAGCAGCAAGGAAAACTGAATAATACTCTTGGATTGGCTGCTTGCAAACCAATCTCCCAACAAAAACACAATTGAGAGGGCTGGGGATTTAGCTCTGTGGTTCTGGCGCCTGCCTCACAAGCGCAAGGTCCCAAGTTCAATCCCCAGTGCCAAAAAATAAAAATAAAAACACAATTGAGGAGGATATTTGGTTTCCGTGAAACTGTTAGGGTCTCCTGAACAATTATTAGTTAGGTTCTAAGGAAAAATCCGTGAACAACTGAGGCTGTGAATTCTGAACTGCGACTTTGCAGGGGAATACTGTACACACTTCAGAAAAAGAAAACTAGTATGATTTTTTTTCAACAGATGGTGTTACATTAGTATGGGGGACTATAGAGTCACAGAAAACCCACTACACTGCCAGCCCTTAGAGAAGAAATTGAAAACGCATGTATAGCAATTTCAATGATCAATGTTACCCAAGCAGCAGTTCTCCATGCTAATAAATGTCTGGAAGCTAATGGCCACCACTTTGACAACTCTTGTATTTGTACAGGCCAAATGTAACTTGTATTAATCTCAATAAATTTAGTGTTAAAATATTTATATACATTTTTCTTTTCCTGAAGTGTGCATACATTTTTCTGGTGGACTCTGTATATAGAAAGTACTTGACACATACTGGCATTCAAAACAATATAACTGTCCTGACAGACAGAATATAGATGTCTAAACTTCCCTTTGAGTATTGAGAAGATATATTTTACTTTCCATTTATGGACAACAGAGATATAGCCACAGAAATCCTTGTGATCTTAGCAAGATTTTCCTCTATTCCAGTTAAGCATCTTACAACTTCAAAGACTGCAGAACCCAACAGACTATTTTCTCAGTCTTGTTGGAGACAGTTCAGTTCAACATGATGAATTACTGAACATTTATTGTCAGATATTGTACTGATACAAAAATAAACCATTGTTTGGCCTCAAACACTTACTATATTGTGTAATACCCATGTGTTTATTTCTCTGGAAGTAATTTGACACTTAAAAATATGGTAAGTACAATGAGGAGCATTAGGCCCAAAGGAGGGAGACTTTCTCCAACCAGAATTGTAAAATAAAACTTTCTGGAGGATAAAGCACTTATAATTTGACTAGGTAAAGTAAGGTAAGCACTATGGGAAGATGTTTCAGGTATAAAAAGTAGCATTAGAAATTGTGCATGAGAATGAAAGAGTAGCATATTTGGAGAATTACATTTATGAATCATTAAGAACAAGGTAGGGAGAAGTAGTGACAGATTTATTTAAGCTGGAAACAGCTCATAAAAAGGCAAGAATTTCATGTGAAGGAATGTATTATTCAGAGAGCAACTAGACTTTATGTAAGGAAGTAAAATGATTAGATGTGTTTTGATCACCTTACAACAAAATAAAGCATAGTGACTGGTTTTAAGGCAATTTAATATTTCAGCAGAGAGAGGACAATGATTTAGAATATTAGAATAGAATAGTTTTAGAATAGAACAGAATTAGAATAGAATAGTTTGATATTAGAATAGAAAATAAAAGGAGAATACATTTGAAAAACATTAGGAAAGAGAATTGGCAGAAATTTCTCATTGCTGGGCAGGGAAGAGATTACAGAAAACAAATAGTCCAAGATGACTCCCATGATCCAGCTTTGGTAGGTGGGTGGGTTTTATTACCAACACAAGTCTCCTATTTAAGTACCAAGGTAGAGTAGGAAAGAAAGAGACTAGATTACATACCTGTGAGTTTCATAGAAGCAGACACAGTGAGGTTCAAGTCCAGCTAAAGTAGAAAAGTTCCTTAAATTCACAGACTAGTTTTCACCAATCTCTTCTTATTTCAAAACTGTACTCTCTGATCCTGTATTATTGTCTGCTTCACTTCTTCACCATAACAGCTCACAAGTGGGGAGCTTTTTATCTCGCTCTTCTGAGGTTCTATGCCTGCTCTTTTTCTTTTGATAAATATCTTCAACTCTTTGGCAAAAATTTAAGATGTATCTTGACCCCATAAAATCTTTAAGATTTAGTAATATGAACCTTGTATTCTTGGACATAATAATTAGCCTCCCCTTGGATACCATATCTAGTTGTGACTGTTAATCTTGAGATGTCAATTTCATTGGATTAGTAAATCTCTAGCAGATTAGTAAAGTACACTCCTGGGTGTGTCTGGTGGATCTTGGATGTGCGACCTTGGGTACTAATATGGTTCCTCACCTGTTTCTCTCTGGGACTGCTTCTCTGCTTTGCTTCCCATCTGCCATGAACTAAGAAGCTTTGCTCTGCTATGAATTTCCATCATGATTTCTGCCTTGGCTCCTCCAACCATGTACAGAATCTCCTAAAACCATGAGCTAAATTAAAACTTTCCTCTTTTAACTTAGAGTGTTGGGTATTGTGTTTAAGCAATGAGGAAGCTGACCAACACATGGTGAGGTCAGCATGTTCAAAAGTCTCTTGTATTTTTCCTCACGTATCATCTGAGCTTTAGTAACTGAGAATTAATTCAAGCCAACAACCAGTGAGAAACACTAATTTCCAAATCTGTTGAGATTTACTTCCTTCCCTCTTGGCATGTTTGTGAATAATTCAGGGAGAAAGTGGGAATTTATTGCTTTTGTGATCTCAAGTTCTATGGGGAAATTCAAGTAAAGACAAATTTACAGGTAGATATGAGATAACCATTTATCCATTCATTTCAAAACTATTTCCTTACCATTTATTACATTTTAGGAACTGAGTAAACATTTAACTTATCTTTATGAATAAAATGGAATTCTCACACAATTGAGGTTTCATTGGTGGAAATGCTAGAGATTAAGTAGACATTATAAATACCTAACATGATAAGTGGTGTGGAAGAAACAAGCGAAGGGGGTGATAAATGGGTCATTTAATGATTCTCAGATGGTATCTGGTTTTATCTAGAGAGCCCATGATGGTTTCATTAAATTTCCTAGCATCTTAGCAGGGATAATTTGAAAGTGTCTTTCTCTGTATGTAGTCTTAGAATCTGTCTAGATAGTTGTTCCTTTAGTGTAGTTGGATTTTTCACAGGGTGACTCTGTGCTCAAATAGCAAGTATTCTAAAAAATTAAGAAAGAAGACACAGTGTTTCTTATGACCCAGCCTCAGGACCATGTTCATCATTTCCACCTTCCTTTACTGGTGAATAAATGGTTAATTTCAGCCTAGATTAAGGCAGAAGGAAATAGGATTGGTCTCCTCAACAAAAGAAGTAACAAAGA